ACATCTCTGACGAATATACCAATTGGTACAATAATTCTGGATCTAAATCGTTAAGAATTGAATCCCTGTTGGCCCAATAGCATCATTTCTAGAAATTCATCTCTAGGAACATATCACAAAGAAATCAACTTATGTGGTCTTAAAGATGTGTATATGCATGTGTGTGTAGCTGTCATAGCTAGTTAGACACAATGTCTCATAATCAACATGTGATTGAATAATTAAGGTTGACCATCCATACTATGAATCATTATGCAGCAGGTAAAAAAATCAGGTATATGTACACTCATAATGAAAGATCTGCAGGAGATATTGTTTAGGGAAAAGGAAGTGGCAGAAAATTATAAATCACGTGAGGCCATTTATATAAAAGCAATAATAAATAGTACTTTGAATTGGTATAACACATAAGATGGTACATAAATAAATTATGACACCACCACATATTATAATGCAATTTGTCAATACTATAATATGTAAGTATATGATAAAAATGTGAGACTATACAGATAGAGTGTTAATAATAGCTATTTCTTGGAAGAGGAATTGATTTTAAGAGGGGTGAAGAAAAGGAATATTTACTTCGTTCCGACTTACTTCCTCATTTGCAATTTCTACAAAAGAACATTAATCTGTTTACTTCCACAATTTAAACAAAATGAAACTGGCTTTGTCTCTAGGTGGATAGAGGAAATTTGAGGAGAAAGGGTATGCAGGAGAGAAAGGAAGACCGATAGGTAAGAGCTAGTCACCAGTACAAGAGCCTTTGTATTTTCCTTCCCAACCTTGGGACCACGGTCTAGAAACCACACCCTGGAAAAAAATCAAAATCTCAAACAAAAGATTAAGTTACAAACTGATCTGATTCTGGTGGCCAAGTCAGGATGAGCAGCCTAAGAGAGGAGTTAGGAGCAATAGAAAAGCCTAATCAGATTCCCTGGTTGGAACGTCAACCCCCAGCAGAGGTATTTCCCAGAGGCTTTGAAAATCCTTTTACTTCCCATGGTGATTCCTCCTCTAAATGACCAAGTTATTGGTTCCCAGCAGGGCCGTGCCATCTATCACTGATTACCATTTTATGAGACAATTTAGGACTCAGAAACAAAATGCAATTGGACTACTGCTTAGTATAATATTAAATTCTACAGATAAATTTATTGTTTAATCATCACTGGAAAGCACAATAGAGCAGTTTTCCAAAAAAGAATTGAAGTCTCAGGTCATTATTGGAGGAAGTTATTTAGATCTAAATTGCTTTGATCTGAAAATCCTCTAATTAGCAATTCATAGGCCAAAATATGATTCAATCAAAGACTTTTTGAAAATAGAATGCTTTCTTTCATTTTCCCCATTCCCTAAATTAACCCTAGTCCTATAAAATATCCAGAAGAATTTTATGACAATAAAGCCAAGATTAACCTGGTAGCTGAAAACCCTGTTGTTTGTTGTGCAGACATTCAGGCTAAGATTATTATACATTTATCGAAGTGAAATGGATTTAGACTAATGTGAAAGACAGCATGACAAGCTTTATTACAATGCAATGATTCAAAAGTCAAAGCAAAAATAGGATGATAAAATTGCCTTGAAAGAGACCAGGCAGTCTTAACATTGATGATAGCTATACACAATTAATTCTGACTCTAAGAACATTTTTCTCCACTTGCATCTAAAGGTATACCACCTTTCAGGGAATTCTGTAATGATAAAATATCTGTTATTTCCTTCATACTTAGCTCTGATAAAGATCTGCTTACTTAACGAAGATTTATTAAGGACCTGCCATGTGTATGGTGGGCTTCTCTCGGGGCTTAGTGTAGAGAATCTGCCTGAAATGCAGGAGACACAGATTCGATCCCTGGGTCAGGAAGATGCCCTGGAGAAGAAAATGGCAACCCACTCCAGTATTCTTGTCTGGGAAATCCCAAGGACAGAGGAGACTGGCAGGCTACAGTACACAGGGTCACAGAGTCAGACACGACTTAGCGACTAAATAAACAACAACAATACACATCAATAAAAAAATTCAAAGAAATAAATTCAACAAATAATCTTTGCCTTTAAGCCCTCAAAATCTAGTATAAGATACAATATACATATACAACCTTCAAGTATACTTGTCAGATTGTGTGAAATTCAATAATGGAAGTTAGAGCTAAAAGATCTTAGGAAATAGAACAACTAAATAAGACTAAGGCATCAGAAAAGTTTTCATTCTGAGTTTCTTTGCTACTTGATATTCACAGTAATAGGTCTTCACTTTAAACTGTCAACAAATAATCACTGAACAAATACTGCAAGGTGTGAGGCACTATGACTGATACCAATACACAAGCTGAAAAGATACGACCCAGCTTAAGACCGCAAACTAACAACTTCAGTACAATGGAATATATGCTCTAAGAAGGGCCACAGGTGTAATGGGAGTGCAGAGAAATGAACACCTAGGTCTGCTTGAAAGACTCCAAAAAAGTCTGAAACTTCAAGGATAGATAGGTTTTTGCCAGTCGACCATGGAGGAGAGGGAACGGAAGACAGAGAGCAAGCATGTAGCAGAACCATGAGGCGGCACGGTGGGAACGAAGTGTGATGTGGCTGCAACATCAAATGAACAAAAGAGAAAAGCAGGAACTGGTCTGGGGAAGAGCTTTATATAAAAGCTTAAGAATTTTAGAGCTGATATTTAAAATGAGGGCAAGAGAAGATGCTGAAGAATTTTTCTTACAAACCACTTAATTAGCAGGATGGAGGCCAGACTGAAATGAGCCCAGTCTGCAAGAAGAAAGACATGTTAGGAAAACTCTGCCATGGTTTGGATGAGATAGTTCAAAAGAAGATGAGATTTTGGATTAGAGCAGTGGCAGATGGGAGAGAGGTAAAGCTGATGAATATATTTGATGGCAGAATCAACTGGAACTGGTAGTTCAGTGGTAAAGGAGATTTACAGTCTGATACATAATATACTAAAATAAGCAAGTTTGGCAGGACTTATGCATCAGCTCAGTTCAGTCATGGGCTGCAGCACATCAGGCCTCCCTGTCCATCACCAACTCCCGGTACTTGCTCAAACTCATGTCCATTGAGTCAGTGATGCCATCCAACCATCTCATCCTCTGTTGCCCCCTTCTCCTCCTGCCTTCAATCTTTCCCAGCATCAGGGTCTTTTCCAAAGGGTCTTTTCCAGCTCCTCGCATCAAGTGTCCAAAATATTGGAGCTTCAGCTTTAGCATCAGCCCTTCCAATGAATATTTAGGACTTATTTCCTTTAGGATGGACTGGTTGGATCTCCTTACAGTCTGAGGGACTCTCAAGAGTCTTCTCCAACGCCATAATTCAAAAGCATCAATTCTTCAGCCCTCAGCTTTCTTTATAGTTCAGCTCTCACATCCATACATAACTACTGGAAAAACCATAGCCTTGACTAGATGGACCTTTGTTGGCAAAGTAATGTCTCTGCTTTTTAATATGCTGTCTAAGTTGGTCATATCTTTTCTTCCAAGGAGCAAGCATCTGTTAATTTCATGGCAGCTGTCACCATCTGCAGTGATTTTTGGAGCCCCCAAAAATAAAGTCTCTCACTATTTCCATTGTTTCCCCTTATGCAAGGTGAGGCTAAGGAATTGAGGTGAATTTCTATTTTTTTTTCTATTTGATTTGCATATATACATGCATCACTTCAGAATAAAATTAAAAGTCCAAGTCACTGAAAAACTCTCAAACGCTGTCCCCAGTAAGTCTATAGCCTATCTGTGTTCTCCTCACAATCAGGTTTCTTGAAATCTATTGCATGTTTACTGGATCTATGTCAGGCATTATGTAAAACAGAAGCTTTACAGGGAAATAAATGATGAGATTATTAGATAAAAAATTTACCTGGGAGATATGAGTAGTAAATAACGTGGTCAGGATATAACCCAGACTACCTGATTCTGGTACAATGTTTTTGCCACCCTATATAGAATATGTATCAATATCATCAAATAGAATGGACAGACCTATTTAACTGAAATTTCTTAATGTAATACTCTGCAGATTAACTTTGATTTTTAACTTACTGAGACTCTTCAATAGCAAAGCAACACTGGTTCATTGTGTCTATTCCATATTTTTTCATTTGAATGTAATTGCTTTATAGTGTTGTGTTGGTTTCTGCTGCACAACAATGTGAATCAGCTGTATATATATATATATATATATATATATATATATATTCACACATATGTCCTTTTCCTCTTGGGTTTCGCCCCCACCCTTCCATTCAAACCCCTCTAGGTCATCACAGAGGACAGATGTGTTTTACACCAGCTTCCCACTGCATACATGCTAAGTCACTTCAGTCATGCCCGACTCTGTGTGACCCTATAGACTGCAGCCTGCCAGGCTCCTCTCTCCATGGGATTCTCCAGGCAAGAATACTGGAGTGGGTTGCACTGCCCTCCTCAAGGGGATCTTCCTGACCCAGGGATCGAACCCACATCTCTTACATCTACCTGCATTGGCAGGTGGGTTCTTTACCACTAGCACCAACTAGCTATCTATTTTACACAAGGTAGTGCATATATGTGTATGCTACGCTCAATTCATCCCATCCCCTCTGACCCCCACTGTGTCCACAAGTCCATTCTCTACATCTGTGATTCCATTCATCCATATCTTATCTGTGTAACATTTATCATTCCCATTTCTGGTTTTTTTTATTGGATTAATGAATACTTTGGAAACTTTTAAAACAACCCATCGAAAGCTCAATAATAAGGATTTAATCTATGAGTACATGGTTTGAAAAAATTTTTTAATGAAATAACTCATCCAGTTGTCCAGGACTATCCTAAATTATCATCAATATCTTTTTTTTAAAATATAGATTTCCAAACCATAGTAGTAAGTCACTATATTTTAAAAATCTATACCATCTCTAAGAGGAATTTCAAACCAAAGATAGATTTGGGTAGGAACTGAGGAGGCAGGACTAAATAAACTGAATGTACACTGTTACTTACTTTATCTCTGGAGAAGCTGAAAAGTTGTTTTCTTGAAGCAAAGAACTGGACAGCTATCACACTGGCTGAGTGACCCCAAAGGACACCAACCGGCTTAGAGACAAAATAGGGGTTCCAAAGGCAAACTTTACTGTCAATGCCAGCAGTTGCTAATCAGAATTAGAAAGAAAGAAAAAAGGTTTTAATAATAGGAATACCCCCCAACACTTTCTTTTTGAAATGAGTATATCACATACTGTATCACCACAGGCTGATAAAAGCCTTCTCAGCACTAATGCACCGTTGTTTTGAAGGAAGGAAAATTCTATCATTGTGCAACAGCCCAGGCTAATAGGGCATGAGTTCTACCACTGGAAGTAGTTGAAATGGGTGTAGGGGAGATGGGTCTGCATGGGTAAAAGGACAAAAGTTTCTTTAAAAGGCACCAGAAAAAAAAAAAAAAAAGGCACCAGCAGCCCAAACAGGAGGACAGAATATTCTTCCTCCTGGTCCCAGTATTTCCTTCTCCAGCCTACACAGCCTAGGAATGCAGATCATATTAAAGTTATCTCAGGAGTAAGAGAGAACTAAAACAATATTTAAAGTTTCCAAATTAATGAAAAAGTATAAGGAAATCAATTATTTTTCACTGTCATGTAAATTATGGAGAATTTCTAAGCAAATGAGCAGCAGAAATATATGTTTGACCTGCTCTATTGAGAGAATAAGGTGGGTTTTTTTTAAAAAAATGCAAATTAATCATATTCAGGGAGTGCATCAGAAACTGGGAGCACAGTGTTTGTGCTTTTTCAGTTCTGAGGAAATTCAGCGGAGCCCTCTCTGCTATTCCCATGCTTAGGGCCAACTGCAGGGCTGAACTTATTCACATTTATGGAGTTGCCGTAAATGTCAGACCCCTATTTGGATTAATAGCCCAGGGTTACAGAAATAAGAGGAACTGAATGTACTTTCGTTTCAAGTCTTTACCCCATAGTATGAAATTAGTAAGTGATAAATTTTACCCTGAGTATTACTGTATACAGTAACATGTAATTCCAGCACTGGGCCAGGTACATGGTAGAGATCCGTACAGAGGGGCTGAAATAATAATGAATCAATGCGCTGGTTGGTATTTGAGTCCTTTTAAGCCCAATTCACTAACTCCTCCAGCTTTCTTTAATAAATCTACAATCCTCCTTGAAAGTTTGCTGTTTGCATATCCCTGACTTCAAAGTCAGTCTCTTTTACCATGAATGGCAGCTATGATTGTTGGGAATTTTAGAGATTCAGCCCCTTAGCTGATATCAATACTCTTTATATGAATGACAACTTTTGAAAGAGCGTCAATAAGACCCCTTCTGTAGACCATGTGTAACTACGTATTCATTCTCTGTAACTACCCTATCAATGTTTAAAATAACACCTCACTTTTCATATTTGAACTAATATCATATAAATCAAATTATCAGCTTTCAACATGCCTAAAATTTATTTAAATAGGCAACACCTGAAAATCTTTATTGCTTATATCCTCAGCTAAAATTTACATAGAAAAAAAGAGCTCTCCTCTAAAGGTCCTTCAACAGAGGAATGGATAAAGATGTGGCATGTATGTACAGTGGAATATTTCTCAACCATAAAAGGAATGAAATTGTGCCATTTGCAGACCTAGAGGCTATCATACAGAGTAGAGTAAGTCAAAAAGAAAAAATATATATTGTATATATTAACACATATATGTGGACTCTAGAAAAATGATATAGATGAACTCATTTGCAAAGTATAAATAGAGACACAGATGCAGAGAAGAAATGTATGGACAGCAAATGGGGAAGGAGAGTGTGGAATGAACTGGGAGACTTGGAATGACATGTATACATATATACTTTGTGTAAGATGATAGATAACTAACAAGAAACTACTGCATAGCAGAGGGAACTTGACTCAATGCTCTACGGTGATCTAAATGGGAAGAAAATCCAAAGAAGAGGGGATACACCTATATGTTATAGATAATTCATTTTGCTATACAGCAGAAACTAACACAATATTGTAAAGCAAATGTACCCCCAGTAAAAATTTACTTTAAAAATAAATTCCCTTAGTATGCTAAAGGACAAGTCTGAAAATTTTCAAAAAGCATCAGAAGCTATATTCTGAGAGGTGATTAGAAAGTGTTCTACATTTTACATTTCTCTAGTGAGTGTATGTGTGTATGTGCACATGAACAAGGAAAATGATGCATCTGGATAGAGTGAGTGAGTGATAGTCGCTCAGCCGTGTCCAACTCTTTGCAACCCCATGGACTGTGGCCTGCCAGGCTCCTCTGTCCATGGGACTCTCCAGGCAAGAATACTGGAGTGGGTAGCCATCTCTTTCTCCATTGTTTGGGTTGAGCATTTGGTTATGCTAAGAAGATGGCAGAGGGCAGACACTGCACAAACAGTGTTCTTTCTCTATGTCATTTTACATTCCCCACCAATTCTGAGAAAAAGGCTCATTAAAGCATTAGAGTACTTTCTCATATTTTCACCCCAAAGTAGTTCATATATGCTATACATCTTAACGCATCATTATCAGACATTTTCGGGTAATAAAATGTGAGCTGCTCGAGCTGGTCTCTCTGGCAATAAAAGCAACAAGGTGAAGAGGCCCCTTGCATGCAAATATGCATCACACACTATTCAGGAGTCCCTCATAGTTATCATGATTTATTTTACATACCAATTAAATTGAGCTGAGAGTGGTAATCAAAAGCATGAATGCCCTGGGCAATGTTGAAAGATGTCATTTTAAGATGCTTTTTAGATTTCTCTCTCCAGGCCAGCACCACAGTGTTTGTATTGTTGGTTGTACTGGAAATAATAGCATCTAAAGATGCATTGTAAGTAACTGAGTAAAGAAAAAAGAAAAAAAATCTTTAGTTGATTTCTCACAAGACACAGGCAGAATAATATTATTTTAATACATGAAGTTAAAAATTAAATTCATATTATGATGATACAACCTGACACTTAGAAAACACCTCACTAACCCCTTCTCCCACCAAAAAACAGAGTGAGAACTTACAAAAAAAATCTGCAATCAGACTTTTCTTCCACCCCAAGGAGAGCTTAAAAGTTTTTAATTAGAACACATGACAGGAAACAATATGAATCACAATAATCACATGGGATTCTGGAGATATAAGTAACTGGCTAAAATGCTGGGTTCTTCTTCCTGGGCCTAAATTAGGCAAACAGGAGCTGAGCAACCATCTGCTACTCTCAAGGTCCAGCTCATGCCCAAACCATTGGTTTACTTATGTTTTGACTGGTCTAGAATGTTTGAGAGTGGGGTGGCCAGGACTTGAAGCTCTGCCAAGATTCACAGCTAGAAGTCTAGTTCGATTGGCAGTTTTCCTGTTCTTGATGATCTAGTACTAGGAGCGTGAGAGGACCATGAGTGTTTAGTCATGTCTGACTCTTTGTGACCCATAGACTGCAGCCCACCAGGCTTCTCTGCCCATGGGATTGTCCAGGCAAGAATACGCTAGATTAGCAGCAAAATCCCACAAGCAAGAAAAACGATTCTGTTGTCTTTTGTCAGAAAGACCTGTGCGTTCCTATAGACTCGGGCTCCAAAAGACACAGCTGCTCTGCCGCAATCTTCTCACCATTATGCCCTCCATGGTTAGATGACAGTTTTCTTTCACATTTGGCTGAGACTATGTATTTGTGCCCCAAGGTGAAAGATTTCCAATTTGACCTCAAACCCAAATTTCTGCCTCACACAAAGAGGGATGTTGTAACTTCGTACAGCTTAAGACAAGTTGTTTTAATAGAACGGCTCTTGAAAATGTTTCTGATCTGTTTATTATCCAGCATCAAGAGCTAACACTCTTGGAATACAATCCTCAGGGATCACTAGAATTCTTGCACTTCTTATTAAACTAATCCTTGACTGCAGTTTGTTCCTCACTATCTTGTCAAGAGTGTTTGCATAGAAAACACCTTAGAATATGAGACTGCCTCTTTTTCTGTAGCAAATGATAGACAAATTTACTACCAAAAATAACTCTGGAGCCAAAGACAGCATGCGTCCTGCCCACTGCAGAAGATTCAGATTCTATAAGCTCAGGGCTCTTCTCCTATAACATGACCCACTGTGCAGGCATTCATCTGCAACTCTCCGCTTTGCCTCTGTGAGACCTGAGTGTCACGGGGAATTGACATGAATGTGCTGATACTTATGGGGCTTGCTGTGCTGTGAATAATGAAGTCCTTTTTTCTGTAACACAGGAGTCTTATGTCCTCTCTCATTTTAAGATTATTTTAAAAGTTCTTTCTCCACAGGAGAGCCACAGTATTTGTATTGTTGACTGTGCTGGAAATGGCAAGCTAACTTACTAGTAACTAACTTGGAAACAGTCTTACTATTTTGATTGGAAGAATTTAATTTGCTTTATGTAGATGCATGTATACATATGAATACATATATGCATACATATATATGAATATATATATTTCCGAATTAGTAAAGACAAGGATTCCCAGAGACAGAAGTGTAGCTCAATACACTTAATAATACACTTACTATACATCACACACTTAATATAATACACTTAATCAATACACTCAATATAATATACTTAATAAAGTAAATGGGAAGAGATACACTTAGTCAGACACAAATTAGCGACTAAAACAACAACTGCAATTGACAAGTGAATAGCTTAATTTAACATATTTCCTATCTATCTCACTACAAAATGTATGTCTTAACATGATTGTGCTTTGTGCGTGCTAAGCTGCTTCAGTCGTGTTCGACTCATTGCGACCCCGTGGACTGTATGTAGCCTGCCAGGCTCCTCTGTCCATGGGATTCTCCAGGCAAGAATACTGGAGTGAGTTGCCATGCCCTCCTCCAGGGCATCTTCCCAACCCAAGGACTGAACCCATGTCTCCTGCATTGCATTTCTTTACTGTCTGAGCGGTAACAAAACAATGGGTGGAAAACAAAAAGTAAACTCCAGAATTTGGAGCTGAAAGAGGACTTATCTACTTCTTTATTTTACAGACTAAGAAATAGATACCTGTGCAGATTCAAGGATTTGGCAAAATCAGCAACTGATTGTCGTCAAATGCTGGACTGGAGCCCAAGTATTTAGACTGAGTCTGGTTTAATGTTATACAACATACAATATCAAAGATCCAAGCTCAGGACAACCAGAGTTTGGCAGAGCCAGAGTATAAATTCAGACATGACCTCTTGACCACTGGAACAGGGCTTCTCATAATTGTAATAAACAAAACAGTCACCAAGAAACTTGTATTCAAATGCAGATATTCATTCAGAAAATCTAAGATGCTGCATTTCTAACAATCCCCAGTTGTGGTTGGTGACGCTCTTTAGTGATGATCACGCTTTGAGCAACAAGACACTAGAATACATCACTAAGAGCACGGCTCTCCTTCTATACTCTAGAGAATTAAACCATTCCCTGGTGGTTCAGACAGTAAAGAATTCACCTGCAATGCAGGAGACCCAGGTTCAGTCCCTAGGTTGGAAAGATCCCCTAGAGAAGGGAATGTATATCCACTCCAGTATTCCTGCCTGGAGAATCCCTAGGACAGATGAACCTAGCGGGCTACGATCCATAGGATTGCAAAGAGTTGGACAAAACTGAGCAACTAGCGCTTTCATTTTCTTAAGATTCGGGAGATCAAATGCTCCTTTGGCAATCTGATGAAAACTGTAGACCCTCTCCATCAAAAAGACATGTACACACAAAATTTTGTATAAAATATCAGGATTTGAGGAACCTCTCCAACCTCCCCACCTCTATTCATGAAGCCCAACAATGATAGATCTGAAGAAATCAAATGAGAAATCTCCAGCAACAAGGTAATTTGGGATTGCAAAACTTTCACTTGCTTTCTCAAATGATTCTTAAAGTTCCTGTTACTAATGATGCATATGCTTTGTGTTAATCAATACCCATGTAAGCAGCCCTTGGCAGAAAATAGCTCTTTGCAGGAAGCTACTCTCTGCAGGAGGCCCCTTTTGTCTTGTCACTTTAGAAAAGCTATATTGTAACTAACCTTTAAACCAGACTTTCCCAGGCTCTACTCATCTCCTGCTCAAGCACACCTTTCAAATCCTTTGATCACACAGTGCCTTGTCTAACCTGTTGATTCTTTTCTTAGATCAAAGAAATAGAGATGAAGGATAAGTAATTAACAGCGAACTCTAGCTTTTCCCCAGTTTCCCCTTCCGTCCTCCCTCAAGCTACCTATGTGAACAAGACAGAATCTAAAGAAAGATCATAAGGAGTCCCCAAGTCTCCATGCAGTGGGAGATGGTGATGAATCTGACCTCCTTTCTCAATGATTAACTGAGATTTTATCTCCTTTTTCCCTTTCAAAACTTTCAAGGCCAAGCAGAATCTCTGGAGTTGGTTCTGGAATACAAGTCTACCTTCTATGCAGGCTTCCTGAATAAGGCACTTCCGTTCCTGCCAGCGCTTGTCTCTCAAGTATTGACTTTCAATTGGTGAGCAGCCTAACCTGAGTTTGGGCTTCTCTTTTTAGTTTCTACTTCTTGAAGTAAATGAGCTTAACTGAGTTTTGATGCTAAGTTTCTACTAGTCAATGCCAATCAGAACACAATTTCTGAGGAAAAAAGAAGGGGCTCTGATAATGCAAAGAGGACTTTTAGAAAGGAGACCTCACAGAGCTCCAGGCAGAAGAATAATTCACCAAGGAGTGTGCTGTGAAATGTTGTGAAACACAAAAGGACTACTAAGGGCCAAAATGGTCTAGTTCTCCACTCAGCCAAGAATTTGCCTGGACCGTTGTTTCTTGCTCATCCCCCAACATGTAATCTCCCTCAATCTATGGATTACTTAAAAGTATTATTAGAGTAATTTTTTTAATCCCTTCCACTACCAGGTATCAAACCATGTCCTTATCTTGTAATCATCTTTGGTGGGTAGATATCTCAAATTTACTGACGAGGAAATAGTCCAAAAGCCATATCACCCTAGGTCATGTGGCTAATTGAGGATAGAGATGAGACTGAGTGCCATCCTGATTGGCTGTGAGCTTTTATTTGTACTATTGCATCTTTTTTTCCACGAAATTAAAAGAGGCTTGCTCCTTGGAAGCAAAGCTATGACCAACCTAGACAGTATATTAAAAAGCAGAGACATCCCTTTACTGACAAAGGTCTGTACAGTTAAAAATATGGTTTTTCCAGTAGTCATGTATGGATGTAAGAGTTGGACCGTGAAGAAGGTTGAGCACCAAAGAATTGATGCTTTCAAACCGTGGTGTTGGAGAAGACTCTTGAGAGTCCCTTGGACAGCAAGGAGATCAATCCTAAAAGAAATCAACCCTGAATATGCATTGGAAGGACTGATGTTGAAGCTGAAGCTCCAATATTTGGCCACCTGATGTGAAGAGCTGACTCACTGGAAAAGACCCTGATGCTGGGAAAGATTGAGGGCAGGAGGAGAAGAAGGAGACAGAGGATGAGGCAGATGGATGGCATCACTGACCCAATAGACATGAGTCTGAGCAAACTCAGGGAGATAGTAAAGGACAGGGAAGCTTGGCATGCTGCAGTCCATGGGGTTGCAAAGAGTCGGGCACAACTTAGCAACTGAAGAGCAAACAACAATCTTTCTTTTCCACTAAGCCACACTGCCATAGGCATGCCAGGCTTTTTCTATTATCTGATTTGAAGTTCTCTCCATGACCAACTACATTCATTGAGCCTCACTGTGTGCATGCATGTGCAGTGACTAGGTCACATCCAGCTCTTTGTAACCCCGTAGACTGTAGACCACGAGGCCCCTCTGTCCATGGGATTTTCCTGGCAAGAACACTGCAGTGGGTTGCCATTTCTTC